ACAAATGAAGTTAGAGCTGTCAGAGACATTACTTTTACAAGAAGAATTTCTATGAATAGAACAGTAATTGTTCAGATTCGTATTTACTTTTGGCAAGTCCCTCCCCTGCCCCACGACTTTACATACTGGGACCATCCTATATAACACACCTCTCTCAAAACCTGTTTCTCTATGTGTCTCCTCTACTCCAATTCCCATCTTGAGGAGTAAGTGTAAGTCTGGTTGACCAGCTGCACTTCCTTTCTTTTGAAAGAAATAGAAGAGTAGAAGCTACATAAGCAATGAGTCTAATTCTAGATATACTGAATTTAGTTCCTAAAGTGACAACTGGATAGCCGTCTCCAGAGACAGATGGGAACTAAAACTTGGGAGACGGTTTTGTGACGAGTGCTAAAAATTCAGGCGTCTTGGTGGGTTTGTATATTTGGCCAAGGAATAATACGTAGAGAGAAAAATGCCAAGGATAAAACCTTGGGCGCCAGTTAAGGGAGAAAGAAAAAGCAACCAGAGGTAAGAGGCTCAACAAGGTACAGATAGAAGTACTTGTAGAAGCCTGGGGAAGAGAGCAAACATCTTGTCCTCCTTGAAGCTTCTCCCTACCTATCGCGCCTCCCCCCCGCCATACTGTAGCACTTATTTGTAATACTTATAATAACTGTGTGTTATTCTCTAGACTTGAAATTGCTAAAGCTCAGAGACCACGACTAACTGCATCTTTAGTATCCCAGTTGTATTGCTGTGTTTCTGGTGCCCAACCCAGTAATTGGTTTAGAGTAGGTGCTAGAGGTGTCTTTAGGAGGGACAGATAGAGTGGCCATCAGAAAGATGGCAGCAGTATGATATAGCGGAAAAAACCTGGACTTCGGAGTCAGACAGACCTGGGGTGACCAATCCAATTTCTACCACTTAATTGGTGGGACATTATCCAGCCCCTCCTAGACTCAATGTTCTTGTCAGCTAACAATGTTTGTATTATATTGCTGCTTACAATGGCTTTCGTGTGTTGTTCCAATTCATCCTCTTAACCCCAGGAAGCAAATAGTATCCCCATTTGAGAGAAGGAAATTGGCTCTGAGAATTGACTTGTCCAAGTAACATAGCTAGTAAGTACAGGCTAGGATTTAAATTCAGGTCTTCAAATTCCCAGCTCAGTGCCATTTCCACTACAGCATAGACAAAAGATGGGATGTGGTTGGGGGAGGTGTTTCTAGGGTAGGGGAAAGGCACCAGTAGAGTGAAAATTGTAACAGCTGCTGACAGGGAGGATAATTGATGGAGTGAGGCCTGGAAGAATGTGGGTGGGGACAGGATTCATAGCAAAAGTGGAATGGTAAAGAGACAGCCTTGGCTCCTGAAGACACCACCAGCCCCTTACGGACAAGAGGAAAGGTGACACTACAAAGATTTGAAGGTAAAGAGGGAAGTTGAATTCTACCTCCGCTGGCCATCTGGTGTGGTGGTGGCGTGGGATCCACGAAAGATGAACAAAAGGAGAGCTGAGTAAGAGTGACCACTCAGCAAAGTTTGATCATGTGGATTTGTAGTTGGCTCCTTTGCAGTTGTGATTTGTCAGCTCTCCTCAGCAGCTTGGAAACTGGAAAAGGGAACGGTTAAAGTTGTCCAGAGTCAGAAGGGTGACAGGCACTGGGGTTCCTGGGTGATAAGGGAGTGCTTGCATGGAGTGGCTCACTGTGGGAAATAGAGAACGGGATGGCGGTCTAGGACAGGGTTTTCAGTCTGTGCCTTGGAACCCTGACATTCTGTTGTAGTGCCTGATGAGGAGGATGTTGGCAACCATCTGAACCAAGGTGGATTTTTCTGTGTGTTACTTACTGGAGTTCAAATACACTCTCATAGAAGAAAGGGTTCTTTAGCTAAGACAAAAACCTTTTAAAAACACTGGCCGAGCTCTGGTCGGTTCGGCTCAGTGGTTAGAGCGTGGGCTCGCGGACCACAGAGTCCCAGGTTCGGTTCCCGCTTAGGGCACGTACCTCAGTTGCAGTTTGTCCCTGGCCCCAGTTGGGGTCATGTGGGTGGCAACCAATCGATGTGTTTCTCTCACATTGATGTTTCTGTCTGTTTTTCTTCCCTCCTATCCCCCTCCCGCTCTGTCTGAAGATAAATGCAAAAATGTCTTCGGGTGAAGATAAAAAAAAAAACAACAACACTGGCTGAAAAGAACAGGAGTTGAGGACTAGAAGGCCCAGGGATGACAAGGGGCAGTCATAGGAGCAGGGAAATAGAGGAGAGCAGAGCAGTGAGATGGCACGTGTGCGTGATCTGAGGCAGTCGGGACAGGAGCACCAGAACCATCTTCAGAGGACCATGGGGTTTTGTATATTCTAAGGCCCTCGTACTTTTTTTTTCCTGAAGTAGATACACCCAGGAAAGAGGGTGGCAGTAGGAGGGGTACCGGAGGTAAATGTTCCCAAGTGCTAACTGTTAATAACATTCATGAACTAGGAATTGACCTTTGTCATGTTTTCCTCACAAGGCTGACTGTGATGATGCTGTGACAGTTAGTTGTAACATTACAAAGTGCCCACTTAAGTAAATGGAGCAGAAGAGCTTACAAGTTTTTATAATAAAGAATCTTTCCAGAGCAGTGGTTCTTGACTTGTCATGGGTCAAGGTCCTCATTGATAATTTGGTTTAAAACTACAAAACCTCTTGCTGGGAAAAAGAAAAATGCGTATCTGTAGGATTCTACATAAAATTTTAGGGAGTTCAAGGACCACTGCACCCAAAAAAACCCTCTGTCCAGGTTAAGAACTGCAGATTTGGGCTTTCTAACATGGACATGTCGGGATACTTCTCTTGGATACTGTGGAGTTTTTCCTTGACTCCTCTCTGTCCCTCAAGCCCTTACACTCAATACGTCAGCAAGTCCTGTTTGATATTTGAAATACATCCATATCTCACTGCCTCCCCGTTGCACGGCACTGTCTTCCACCGGGACTGTGGCCACGCCCTCTTCATTGATTTCTCTGCTACCACCCTTGCCGCCCAGCTCCCATAGTCTAGAGTCCACACACACAGCCGGAATGGTCCACGTGAAAGTTTCCATGTCACTATCCCTTGTCATGTATTCTATCCAGAAGCCTCCAGTGGCTTTTCGTCTCACTCAGAATGTCATGGCACTTGATATATTGGGTCTTATTCCCTACTGGGTTCTACACTTTATGGGCCTGACTGTCCGCCCTCATTTCCTGCCATTCTTCACTTCACGCCAGCCGCACGGGCCTACTGCTGTTTCTCAGACACGTTAGGCTAGGCACTCTTCCACCCCGGAACTTTGGATTTGCTTCTCCCCCTTAGAACAAACACCCTTCCAGAAAGAACCAAAGTTTTGCCTTTTGGGGATATTGATTTTAAGCGGTTTATTAAGCAAGGCTCAGAAAGAACCTTTGATCCCCCTGCCCGGCCTTTCCTGTCCGAGAGATTCAGACAGAGAAACCTGCTTCATGACGGGGATGCTAGGATGTAGCCTCAGCCCTGTTTGAATTGTGGGGTAAACCAGAGGGCTTCAGGCAGGCACCTGTTAGCTAGATACCCGTGTCCCATTGTCTCTGAGTCACCAAGCAAGGCTTTCCCCCGCCATGCATGTTCCCAGCATGTTCTGCCTGCCTCAACTACCTGTAAATTGCCCGTTCTCAATGCTGAAGTCTCATACCCCATCCCCCCTCCTTTCTCCTTTGTCCAAAAATGTCATATATACCCAATGTTGCCTATCTTTGATTTTTTAGTTTTTTTATTTTTATTGTTAAGAGTATTACAGATGTCACCCCTTTTTCCCCCATTGCCCCCCTCCACCCAGTTCCTGCCCTGCCCGAGGCCTTCACCACTCTGTTGTCTGTGTCCCTGGGCTATGCATACACACATGGAAGTTACTTAATTAATCGCTTCCTGACCCCCTTCCCTCTTCCCTCTGAGGTTTGTCAGTCTGTTCCCTACTTCCATGTCTCTCTATTTTGTTCGTCAGCTTATTTTGTTCACTGTATTCCACAAGTAAGTGAGATCATGTGATACCTGTCTTTCCCTGACTATTTTGCTTATGTGAGTTTCCCATGTACATGTATTAAAATTTGATTTTCTCCTTCAAAAAACAAAACCAAAACACCCTTCCAGATATTGTCATGGCTCACTTCTGTATTTCTTTAACATCTTTGCTCGAATGTCACTTCTTCAGAGAGGCCTCTCCTGATCACCTCGTATATAACGGCACCCTTCCTTTCGCACCATCCGTCTCTCCCCTTTACCTTGCTCGTCGTTCTTCATAGCACTTACTGCACCTGACTCCCCATCTGTTTCTCTCTGTCTGTCTTCTCCCACTAGAATGAAGGCTTCAGGAGAGCAAGGACTTTCTTGCGTACACAGCTGTGCCTCCTGCACTGAGCACAGTGTCTGTCATACAATAGGTACTCAGTAAATATTTGTCGAATGATCGATGAGATACTAGAACACATACTGAAAAAGGGAGGCAGGGTGGTTATGAGACTTTATATTAGATGCGTCAGAAGAGCTGGGAATGTTTTGCCCAGGGGAAGAGAAAAGGTGATCATTTTTAGGATGTTTCACAAGAAATTGCTACATCAGTGGCAGGCAAATGACCCCGAAGATTAGATGAATCTTTGAACCTGTAAATCCCAAATGGACATTGTGTGGTACTAAGCACCCAACCTAGTAAAGGTTGGTATCAAATTACTAAGGCACTCTACCTCTAAAGGTGATGGGAGGAGTTGCTCAGATCAGGTTCCCGCTCCACTTTTCTGGCTTCAGATGTATTTTCCAGCCCCTGCTGATCCCTTCCTTGCCTTGAGGTCTTGAGAAAACTGCCTTGGTGGCAAGTGCTAAGTCTAGAATCTATACTTTTGCCAAAGTGGAAATTGGGGGTGCTGACTGCCTGGTCACTTGCAAAGGTAAAATCTTACTGTGGCCTTTTTTTTAAAGGAATCTCTCTGTATTTTTAAGTTCATGGGTAATGCTTTTCCGTGGAACAGATACAAGCAGAGGAAGGAGATGGAGGATAGGTTGTCTGAAATGAAATCTGCTGTGGAAGGTGGTGAGGCCGATGATGAGCGTGTTCGTGAGTATTACCTCCTTCGCCTTCGAAGGTGGATTTGTATCAGCTTAGAAGAGGTTGACAGCATTGACCAGGAGATGAGCATCCTGAGAGGAAAAGACTCTTCAAAAGAGGTAAGTCTGGTCACTACCTGTATAGCTCAGAAAGCTGCTGTCAGAGATGTGCATTTCTATGGGACAAGGATCAAACGAAAATCCTTTTAAGTCTCCATAAAATCATTGTCTTACTGAGATCAGTGGAAGAAGGCTGAAGGTTCACGAGAGTGGCTTTCTCTCTGGTTTACAGTAGCACGCCCCAGTGCCTTCTAACCTGTGCCACACTTTAGTCCTTTATAATTTTGTGCCATGTCACGGGGAAGGGAGACTTCCCTGTAGTAAAGTAAAATCCGCTTGACTATGATAAAGGGGAAGGAACAGGATGGAGGTGGCGAAGAAGAGCAGAACTAGAGAGAGAAAAGAGTAGAAATAAGATGGTAAAATGAAAGATATTTAAGACTTCAGAGAAAGCCCCTCCTAATTTGATTTGTGCTAATTAGCCCAAGAGCTTTGGCCTCAGGGTAACATCAGCCTAGTTCCTGAGGTTCCAGGGTCAAAGATGAACTATCAGTATTCTGAGGCCATAAAGCCTTGGGCATACTAGAGTGGTTTTTAAACAGTATGAGGCTGGACTCTTCTGGGTCCTCTCCTGCCCACTTCTTTGCTGTTGTTTTTCCTCTTTCATGCTGTCTCATTTGGTATTGAAATTGGCTTTAGGAGTAATGGAGCTCGAACCAAGTGAACCACCTTTTCTTTGACCAGACTTTGTTTCATTTTGTGTCTGGACAGCCAGGGTTCCTTAAAACATTCCTATACACCTTTACAGTAAAACTTCCATTCCCCAATGTCTCCCATCTCAAACAGTTCTCCACCAAATTGTTGACAGAAAAAATCTCTTGGTCATTGAACAAAACTTCGGTTCTTGACCTGACAACCCTTTCATGCTGATACATCAGCATGACAAAAAGCATCTCTCAGGCCACAAACAAAAGAGAGAATGCCAGTCAGTTTACCACTAAGCCTCACCTTGTTAACGTCTCAGGAAATTGTGCTGTGAAGATCGTTTTGTTTTGTTGCTGGCAAAATGGACCATTAGCACAATTTTAAAACAGAAGTCATCAAGAGTGCCAGTGTTGCTAAGGGTGTGGAAGAAACATTGGTCACAGGCAATTGAAGAGGTAGAAAAACTTGCTGATGTGGATACAGGAAGAGCAGTTAGCAGGTGACAGCAATTTGGAGGGAGTGACATGTGAAAAAGCGAAGGTGCTGCTTGCTGACCTGAAAGACGCCCCTGGACGCAGTGCTGACGGATTCGGTGAAGGCTCGTGGGGGGGGGGGGTCCCTGAATTTAAGAAGTGTTGGTTTATACATTAAACAGTACATTAGACATGTTGAAAGAGGGAATCATTTGGGGGTCTGGAACAGATTAATTCAATTTACATTATTTCTTTTTTTAAAAATTCAATTTACATTATTTGTAATGGGGAAAAGGGATTCGGTTTTCAAACAAATTCCTTCTTGAACAGCCTTCCAGAACAGATTAAGTTCGAGAACCACAGTTCTACTATATGTGAAAACTACTAACCCATTCTTTCTCCCTTGCATTTAGGGACATCCACTTCTAAAGTACCCTAGGGGGTTCTTAGCAGTTAATAGCGTAATTACAGGGTCATAATTGAACATTAGCACTGAAGGCCAGGCTGAGGAAAGGGGCCTAACATTTAGCTCCAGGCATTTAGATGGATTGTGGAGAACCTTTGGCATCTCCTTTGGAGGGAAAGCATTTTAAAACCAAGTAATTTTTTTTTTCTTATGATGAGATTACTCCTGGGAGAGCTTTCTCTTTCTTTTCAGCAGGGTACTCAGGTGTCCTTAGGAAAGCTAAGCAATCTCCATTGTTAGTATTGTGCTGCTATATCTCAGAAACTGATATGTACGGAGTAACTGAATTTTGAATCCAGGGCTCTTTCAGCACCCAAACACCTAAGAGTCCTGCATAGTGTGGTGGGCAAAAGGCAAACACATTTCTGATAGTTCATTTCCTTTTTAGGCATCAACTTCTCGCTCATCTCATCAGACCAGGCCTCCAATGAAACCCTTCATTCTCACTCGGGATGCGGCCCAAGCCAAGTAGGTGGTACTAAAAAGTGGGTTGCCTTTGCAAACCCCTTGCTTATGTGGTTCATTTGCAGTGCATGGTAACAGACAAACTGGCATTGTTAAAAGGTCATGGCTTTGCCTGGGAGGCTGTTCTTTCACCAAAGGGATGCTATCTCTTCTAATAATCTCTCTGTCTTTAGCAGACATTGTCCTCACAGACCTGGGCTTTAAAAGAGGCTCCAAAGAAAGCCAATAAAAATAATCAGTTAGTTAGTTAATTAAAAACAGAAAGAAGAAAGGAATGAAATAGAGAATTGTCCACTTTAAAATTGCTTCCCATTATTGCCTCCAGTTCTCAAAAGGACATGTTTGCCTATCTGGGTTCTTGAGATGGTTTTCCAAGGGTGTCAGGAGAGTCCCCTTTCTCTGTGTACCTTTTAGACCCCCAAACTGTAAACACCCTTTTCACAGTGTCATCACTAGTCTGGGAGGCATTGGCCTCTGGGATTGCTTATTGGGAGATGATCCTGGGCTATGTATCTTCTCATGAAAGCTGGTTAGGGGAGGGAGGATAACAGTTCCACAGGCTTTGTCGCTAAAGAGAAGAGCCCTTTTTAAGGTACTATTTATGTTTAGTTTTCTAAATACACTGTGATTCTTGCAGAGTATTTGGAGCTGGTTATCCAAGTCTGGCATCTATGACAGTGAATGACTGGTATGAACAACATCGGAAGATGGGAGCTTTACCGGATCAGGGAATAGCCAAGACACCATCAGGTATGAAGGGCTGGGAGGAAAGTATTTACACTATAGTCCCTTACTCCCCAGGGGTTCAATGCTGACCAAGTATTGCTGTCCTTTAGGAGCAGAAGTAATCTGGACAAAGATTCTGAGGAACAGAAAGACTCTGGGCAGTATTTTCTTTCATTTATTAGTGAAATAAATAGCAGATCATTCTGGCAGGGTAAGGGCAGTGGAGAGGTGTACTGTTTTAACCTCTCCAAATATTATGGCATAAAAACAGACTGAGCAGCCCGGCTGGTGTGGTTCAGTTGGTTGAGCTTTAACCTTGTGTGCCAAGAGGTTGCCGGTTCGATTCCCAGTCAGGGTACATGCCCGGGTTGTGGGCTCCATCCTCAGACAGCTGATGGGTGTTTTTCTCTCATTGATGTTTCTTTATTCCTCTCCCTTCCTCTCTAAAAATCAATAAAAACATATTAAAGCAAATAATAATAATAATAATAAAAACAGGCTGAGCAACTAGATAACAAAACCAAAAATCCACAGATAACAGTTCCACTTCTGGTATTGGCAGAGCAGGTTGCGTTAGGTGAACACCTCTTACAGTTAACAATTACAAACTGGAAAAACTATTTTTAAAAAACCTGAAGGCATCCCTGGCCGGTTTGGCTCAGTGGTTGGAGCGTTGGCCTGTGGTCCAGAGAGACCCAGGTTCCGTTCCTGCTGGGGGCGCATACCTCGGTTGCAGTTTGTCCCCGGCCCTGGTTGGTCGGGTGGCAGCCACTTGATGTGTCCCTTTCATGTCGATGTTTCTCTCTCTCTCTCTCTCTCTCTCTCTCTCTCTCTCTCTCTCTCTCTCTCTCTCCCCCCATCCCTCTCTTCCTCTCTCTCCCTCCCACTCTATCTGAACAAAAAATGGAAAAATGTCCTCGGGTGAGGATTAAAAAAAAAACCTGAAGGCACTGGAGAGTGACCAAAAGCAGACATACAGTGGAGGTCAGTCAACATTTATAAGAAAGGAGTGGTATCTGGAACTTCCTGAGGGCAAGGATTTGGACTTACTGTATTCTTGGTGCCCAACTTGGTAATTAGATCCTAGTAGATACCTGGAGGTGTCTTTGGGAGGGGAAAGTGGAGAAGAGTGGTCATTAGAAAGATGGAAGCAACATGGTATTAGCAGAAAAAGCCCAGGCAGCTGGGGTAACCAATTACTCCTACCACGTGATAGGACATCGTCTAGCCCCTCTGAGCCTCAGGTTCCATAGCTCATGTATTATCTCATTTGCTCTTAATAACCCCGTGAAGCAGACATTATTAACCCCATTTTAGTATGAAGAAATGGTGTCTGAGAACTGACTTATGCAAAGTCAACATAGCTAAAAAGTGGCTAGGCTAGAATCTTAATTCAGGCCTTAATATGCCATGTTCCACTGCATTTTCAAATGTAGCACAGAGGAAAGAAGAGTGGTCATTTGAAAGGCTTTTCTGTTGTTTTGTTTTTTTTTTTAACATTGTATTTTTAAAAATATTTATTTGTTTATTTTATTTTTGTTACAGATGTTTCTCCTTTTTTACCACATTGACACCCTGCTCCCCATTTCCCCCACCCCGTCCCCAGCTTTGTTGTCCATGTGCATTGGTTATGCATACATGCATATAAGTTCTGTGGTTTATCTCTTCCCTTCCCCCACCACCCCCTCTTCTGATTGTCAGTCTGTACCCTACTTCCACGTCTCTGGGTCTACCCTATTCCTCAGACTGTTGTGATCATTATATTCCACAAATAAGTGACATCATGTGGTATTTGTCTTTTTCTGCTTGGCTTGTTTTGCTTAGAATAATGTTTTCCAGGTACCTCCATGTCGTCTCAAAGGATAAGAGATCTTTCTTTCTTACAGCTGCATAGTACGCCACTGTGTATATGTAACACAGCTTTTTCATCCATTCTTAGCTATCCAATAGCTAAGATCTGGAAACAGCCCAAGTAAATAGAGCTGCTATGAACATGGGGGTACATATATTCTTTCTGATTGGTGTTTCAGGCTTCTTAGGGTATATTCCTAGAAGTGGGATCACTGGGTCAAATGGAAGTTCAATTTTTAATTTTTTGAGGTAACAACATAGTGTTTTCCATAGTGGCTGCACCAGTCTGCATTCCCACCAGCAGTGTACTAGAGTCCCCTTTTCTCCACACCCTCACCAACATTTGTTTGATGATTTGTTGATGGCGGCCATTCTGACAGGTGTGAGGTGATATCTCATTGTTGTTTTAATTTGCATCTCTCTGATGATTAGTGATGTTGAGCATTTCTTCATATTGTCTCTTGGCCATCTGTATGTCCTGTTTGGAGAGGTGTCTATTCAGCTCCTCTGCCCATTTTTTAATTGGGTTCTTTGTCTTCCTTTTGTTGAGTTGTATGAGTACTCTATATATTTTGGAAATTAACCCCTTATCTGAGGTATCATTGGCAATTATGCTCTCCCATACAGTGGGTTGCCTTTCCATTTTGATGGTTGTTTCTTTTGCTGTGCAGAAGCTTTTTACTTTCATATAGTCCCATGTGCTCATTTTTTCCTTTGTTTATGTTGCCATCGATTTCTTGACGTTAATTTTGTATCCTGCTACTTTGCCAAATTCATTTATTAAGTCTAGTAGATTTTTGATGGAGTCTTTAGGGTTTTCTATGTATAACATCATGTCATGTGCAAATAATGACAGTTTCACTTCCTCCTTTCCAATTTGGATCCCTTTTATTTTTTCTTCCTAATTGCTGTGGCTAAGACCTCCAGTACTATGTTAAATAAGAGTAGTGAAAGTGGGCATCCCTGTCTTGTTCCTTTTCTTAAGGGAAATGCTTTTAGTTTTTGCCCATTGAGTATGATGTCGGCTGTAGGTCTTTCATATATGGCTTTTATAATGTCGAAATATGACCCCTCTATTCCCACATTGCTGAGCGTTTTTATCAGAAATGGGTTCTGGGTTTTGTCAAATGCTTTTTCAGCGTCTATTGATATCATCATGTGGTTTTTATTCTTCATTTTGTTTATGTGGTATATCACATTTATTGATTTGCGAATATTGTACCAGCCTTGCATCCCTGGGATGAATCCCACTTGGTCATGGTGAATAATTTTTTTGATGTATTGCTGGATCCGATTTGCTAGTATTTTGTTCAGGATTTTGGCATCTATGTTCATCAGGGATATTGGCCTGTAGTTTTCTTTCTTTGTAGTGTCTTTTTCTGGTTTTGGAATTAGAATTATTCTGGCCTCATAAAACGTGTTTGGAAGTCTTCCTTCTTCTTGAATTTTTTGAAATAGTTTGAGGAGAATGGGTGTTAGTTCTTCTTTGAATGTTCGGTAAAACTTCCCCGTGAAGCCATCCGGGCCTGGGCTTTTATTTGCTGGGAGAATCTTGATTACCTCTTCACTTTCCTTAGTTGTTATTGGTCTGTTCAAGTTTTCTATCTCTTCCCTGCCCAGTTTTAGGAGACTATGTTTTCTAGAGATTTGTCCATTTCACTCAGATTGTCGAATTTGTTGCCATATAATTGTTCATAGTAGTTGTTAACGATCTTTTGTATTTCTGTGATGTCAGTTGTTACTTCTCCTCTTTCATTTCTTATTTTGTGTGTTTGGGTTCTCTCTCTTTGTTTCTCTTTGTTTCTTGGTGAGTCTAGCTAAGGGTCCATCAATTTTGTTTATCTTTTCTCAAAACCAGCTCTTTGTTTCATTGATCCTTTGAATTGTTTATTTGGTCTCCATGTCATTTATTTCTGCTCTGATCTTTACTATTTCCTTCCTTCTGCTTGCTCTGGGGTTTTCTTTTTGTTTGCTTTCTAGTTTTTTAAGTTGTGAGGTTAGATAGTCTATTAGAAATTTTTCTTGTTTCTTGAGGTAGGCCTGTAGTACAATGAACTTCCCTCTCAAAACTGCTTTCGCTGCATCCCATAGATTTTGTGTTGTGTGTTCATTTTCATTGGATTCCAGGAAGTTTTTAATTTCTTCCTTGATCTCCTCGGTAACCCATTCATTGTTTAATAACATGCTATTTAGCCTCCATGTGTACCAATGTCTTTGCATATTCTTGTTGCAATTGATTTCTAGTTTCATGCCATTGTGATCTGAGAAGATGCTTGATATGATTTCAGTCTTCTTGAACTTGTAGAGATTTAGTTTGTGTGCTAACAAGTGGTCTATCTTTGAGAATGTCCCATGTGCATTTGAGAAGAATGTGAATTCTCTAGTTTTGGGGTATAAATCTCTGTAGATATCTATGAAATCCATTTGGTCTAGTACTTCATTTAGAGACTCTGTTTCCTTGCTAATTTTTTGTCTAGAGGATCTATCCAGTGATGTCAGTGGGGTGTTGAAGTCCCCTGCTATGATTGTATTGCTGTCAATTTCTCCTTTGAAGTCCTCCAGAAGATTTTTAATATATTTTGGTGCTCCTATATTGGGTGCATATATATTTATCAAGATTATATCTTCCTGTTGGGTAGATCCTTTCAATATTATGTAGTGGCTGTAAGGTAGCCAGGCACTGCCGGTGGAAGGTGGAAAGAAACCAAAGAGCCAAACAGCCGAATAAGCAGAAATCAGGCTTTATTGGGTACACTCCAGGCGGGTTCACAGACTCCGGGGGTCGAGTCCTAGAAGCCACACCCGATGCTGGGGTTTGTGATTTTTATATCTGCACCTATGGCAGCGGGAATTTGTTGTTAGGGTTAGGTCCTGCGTGGCTACGCATGGGAGCCCCTGGAATGTGAGTCTATTGTCCCGGGGCAAACAGTTCCTGGACTAGGAGAGGAGAACGGGACAGGAGTTGATCTATGAGTTCGGGGCAAACAGTTCCTGAAACAGGGTGGGAGTCTAGGTTGGATACGCGAGGTAATGGCTGAACAATTTGCTTGGCGCCAGTTCCCAGGCTATCGGGCATTCCTGACTCTGTGATATAGGAATAGAGGCCAGGTCGTCTTTCTGACTACTTCCTGCTGCACGGGGGCAGCGTCAGAGGAGGGGGGGTCCCGAGTTGG